CATAGGCATCTGCTAGTCAGGCCATGTAAACTGAGCAGCAGCTGGGTGCTTTTTACTGTTTGGGAAGTGGGAGGGTGGGTGGCTTCTAAGAGGCCTTGAGTGGAGGGCTCCCAAGAGAACCAGGGTCACCTTGCCCTTCAGGGATGTTTCTGGTGCCCCCCAGATTTGGGTACTGCTGGCTCTGGGTGGTAGAACTTACTTGGGTCTCTCTCTCTCTCTCTCTCTCACTTTGCAGCCTTTCATAGACAGTGATCACATCATCCACAAGTACTTCCTGCCCAGAGAGTATGCCATTATCATCCCTCTAGCAGCTGGCCTATTCCTGTTGCTGTTTGTGGGTAAGTAGCCTTCCTCCTTCCCTCAGGAGTGGGGACAGCATTTCTGGAGTGGTTTACAGGATAGCAGCTGTTTGAGCTTCTTCATTGCTCTGGATAATGATTTCATGGGATACTTGCCACTTCGCCAAAATGGTGGCGAGGTAGCACAGTGGATAGAATACTGGGCTTGGAGTCAGGAAGACCTGAGTTCAAATCTTTCCTAAGATTCTTCCTAGCTGTGTGACCCTGGGTAATTTTCTTAATTGCTTATGTGTGCCTCAGTTTCCTTACCTGTACAATGAGGGAGTTAGACCTCATGACCTTCTATGGTCCTTTCCAGCTCTAAATCCATGATCTTAGGAAATGACTTGACCAAGGTCTTCTGTTAATGGTGCTAGACTTGGAATGAGGAAGACTTAGGTTCAAATCCCACCGCTGACATTTACCGTATGACCCTGAACAAGTCACTTAAACTTAACCTCTCTTATGGGAAAATATACTCACATTTGAAGCTCATTGCAATGAGTATGTATTTACAGCACTTTGCAAACTTTAGAAGTGCCATATCATTGTCATTTATTATCATGATCATTAGTGGAAGATCCAGGACCAGGACCTAAAGCTCCTGATCTTCTGGTTCTTCCCTCTATCTGCTACCTGGCTGAGTAGAAGAAAACGTCATTAATGGAGGGGCCTTGAGATCATGAGGTTGTAGTCTCAGAGCTGGAAAGGCCCCATTTTAGATGTCATCTAGTTCAGTGCCATCTGACATGTGGATCCTCTTTATAGCATGTGACTGACCACCCAGCCTTTCTTTGAAGACCTCCAGGGACCATTCCTCCCCCACATGGGCAGGGCAACACCAGCAGCAGTTCTGGCTCCCCTCACCCTGGGTGTTGCTGAAGGAGGATACTCCATGGTCTCTACCGGGGACTTGGTCTGTTGGTTTTCAGTGGAGAGGTGTCTCCTGTTGCAACTCAAGGTTAAGTCTCAGTGTCTGAATATAAGGGTGGTGAATTTCCTACCCTAAGAGTGTTCAGGGAAAGGGCAGGAGACTGCCTAGCAGGGGGCAAGGAAAGCATTTGTGCATGGAGTGGGAGACTAGTCTCCAGGACAGCTAAGGTCCCTGTTGGTACTGTTCCGTGTTAATCACTTTCACTCTTAGGGACTGTTGTCCTTGTCCTGGTGATCCTGATTCGTGAAATGACATTTCTGGGCTTTTTTGTGCCAGGGCTGTTCATCACTTACGTAATGCTGAAGAATAGGAAGCCAGCCAAGAAGACAAATTGAAGGAGGAGGCATAGCCAGACTTGGGGAGGAGCTTGAGGTCAGATCTTGGACCCCATCTGCTGCATCCCATCGGGGCTTGGAGGAGACTTTGGGGGCAGAGATTAGAGAGGGTCCTGTGCCCTGTCCTCACCATCTCCTCTCAGGCCAGTGTGTACTGGGTCAGGGGTGCAGTCCTGATCTTAGGACACAGCTGATGAGCCACAGCATCCCAGATGCACCCTGAAAAGTGTACATTTTGGTCCTATGGGACTGGCCTGAATTGAGTTCCATCTATGACTGACTGCCTCCTTCATCCTGGGATCCAGCCCATGTGAGAGGAGCAAGATGTGGGCATTCCAACTCTTCTCCCTCGGCCCCTCTCCCAGTTTTATGGGCAAAGGAGACGCCAACCTCCTTCTCTCTCTCCTATCCCTCTCGGGCTCTGCAGACGAGCTTTCCTTCACATTCCTATAGGTCCCTTCCTTTCTCTACCTCTTGCTCAGTGGAAAGTCAGCTTTTCAGAGGCTGACACAACCTTGGGCTCTTCCCAGGGTACAGGCTCTTCTAGACAAATCCCTAGCCCTAAATTCACTTCTCTGGGGAGCAAGACCAGACGTCAGCCTGGTGAAGGGGCCAAAGAGAGAAAGATACTCAATGCAAGCTGTGAAGACTAGAAACTTTGTGGACCAAACTACTGGCACTGTCAGGTGTAAAGGCCTGATGGATATTGTTTGTCCAATGTGCTGTGTCACACTCTGTACCCATCTGATCTCCATGTGGTCCCTATACTTACCCCAGCCCCTGTGCTACTAAGCTTCCGGCTTCATCTCTGTGTTTCAATAAATATTTGATACATGTCTGTTTCAGTCATCCCTCACACCCCTCATACCCCTGGTCAATGTTCTCAGTTGGGTGGGGTTGGGAGTTGTATAATTTGAACCCAGCTGGGCTTTGTAGCTCAGAGAGAAGAGAAGGGTGAAGGGTGGTCAAGAGGTGGATGGGGAAGTCTGGCAGTATGAAGATTCTTTTCATCCTAGAATCTCCTCCCCACCCCAGCCTGTACTCAACTGGCCAAAGAGCCAAATGACATCTTCAGGGAGGCTCTCCCTAAGTGGGAGGAGAGGGGACTTCCATTGATCCTGAGGATCGGAATCATCAGTGGCTTGGCATTCTGGGGCTGTGCCCAGCTTTGGGTGGTTTATTTTTTTAATTAAATTTTATTTTCTTTTTCAGTTAACTAAAACTAGGCCTTTCTCCCTCTCATCTTCTCCCCAAGTTGAAAAAAAAAAGAAAAGAAAAAAAAAAGCCCTAGTAATATGTTTGAGCAAAACAAATTCCCAAATTGTCCATGTCCAAAAATGTATATATGTCTCACTTTGCACTCCTCTCTTAGGAGGTGGGTAGCATGTTTCATCAGGAATCTTCTGGAATCAATCAGTAAGCATTTATTAAGTACTTGTGATATGCCTTCTCTGTGCTAAACAGTGGGGAGACAAAGGCCTGCCCTCAAGGAGATTATGCATTCTTTTCAAAAGACTTTATTTTTTTAATTAAGTATTTTTTTTATCTCTCCTACCCCAATGGAAAAAAAAAAACAACCCAAAACCTTACAATGAATATGCTTATTCAGCAAAACAAATTTCTGCATTGGCCATGTCCAAATATGTGGGTCTCAATCTGTATCCCGAATCCATCACGTCTCTATGAGATAAGTAGCTTTCTTCCTCATCAGTCCTCTGGAATCATGGTTGGTCTTTGTGTTGATTATTTTTCTTAAGTCCTTTGAAGTTGTCCTTACAATGCTTTTATAATTATATAAATTGTTTTGGTTCTGCTCATATCACTCTGCAACAGTTCATACAGGTCTTCACAGGTTTCTCTGAAATTTGTCTCCATCATTTCTTACAGCAGAATAATATGTCTCATCACATTCATACACTATAACTTGTTGAGCTTTTCCTCAATTGACAGGCATCCCTTCAGTTTCCATTTCTTTGCCACTGGGGGGAAAACTGCTATAGATATTTTTGTACACATGGGTTCTTTTCCTCTTTCTTTGATTTCAGTCCAGTACCAGTATTGCTGGGTCAAAGGGTATGTACAATGTAGTAATTTTGGGGGGGGGAGCATAGTTCCAAATTGCTTTTCAGAAATGGATCACAGCTCACAGCTCCACCAACAGTGCATGAAATGTATGTTTTCCCACAGCCCCTCCAATATTTGTCATTTTCCAGTTTTGTCAAATTTGCATTTCTGATGGGTGTGAAGGGGAACTGATGAGTGGTTTCAATTTTCATTTCTCCAATTATTAGCAGTTTAGAGTATTTTTTTTTAATATGGCTATTGATAACTTAGATGGCTTCCCCTGAAAATTGCCTTCATATCCTTTAACTATTTACCAATTTTGTGCTTTTAGGGGCAGTTGGAACTCCTTGAGTCCTCTGAGCCTGCCATTAATTTGCCCCTGGGCAAGTCATAACCCCCTTGCCTTCAGCTGGTAAAATAAAGAGTGAACTGTGGAATATAGGATCTCTGAAGTTCTTCCCAGTTCCATAGTGATGTATCTTCAGTCTCTCTTCCTAGAGAAGGTGATGTTGGTCTCTGCATCGTCCTAAATTTGACCAAAGGACCCTTGACCGCCAGGATTTGAAATCTTTGATCTTTGGACCTCCCACATACTCCATTTACTTCCTGACCTGGGTTAGAGTTCCCAAATTACTGAACTCATCCCCTCCTCCCCAGGCCCTTTGGGTACCCCTCCCAATTCCACCAAGGGGCAGTCCAGCTTGGGGCTGTGGTCCTGAGCAGGGAACCCTGGACCGGGTGGGTGGGGAAGGGGAAGGAGAGGGAGGAGGAAACACCTCAGGACCCCGCAATCTTCAAATACCATGCCTGGAAGGGACTAATCCTAGAGGTTTAGCAGCAGGCTGTGTAAAACGTGGCCGGAGTTCGAGGCCCAGCTCTGCCATTGACCCTCCATGACCTCTCTGGGACTCATTTCCCTCATCTGTAAAACGAAGGGGAGGATTGGACTAAATGGCCTCTAAGATCCCTTCCAGCTCAAGGTTTCGAATCACGGGGGACCCTATCATTAAACCGAGTAGGAGGGACGGTTTGGGGAAACTGAGGCCCGGGAAGGTGATGAGCTAGAGCAAGGCCAGGCCGCTGATTCCCGCCGCAGTACTCAGGGAACAGCGGGGAGCCCAGGAATCCCGCCTCCTAGCTCCCGCCATCCCCTCCCCCCCCGCCCCCGAGATCCGTTTCCCCAGCCAGCCAATCCGGGGCTCCCGCGCGGATGCTCGAATCCCTGCCCGAGGCAGCTGGGGGGGGTGGTGGTAGGGGGCGGGGCCGCGGGGCGGGACAAAGGATCCGGGCGGGGCCTGGAGCCCGGGCTTCGGGCGGCTGCCGGGGCGCGAGCGTCAGCGGCGGCGGCGGCGGGGGCGATGGCGGAGAGGCCCTCGCATCACAATGAAGTAGGTCCGGGGGTCCGCGCGAGGGGGTCCGCGCGAGGGGGTCCGCGCGAGGGGGTCCGCGCGAGGGGGTCCGCGCGAGGGGCTCCGGCTCCCCCGCCCTTGGCCCAGCGTGTCCGGGCGCCGAGGGCGAGGGAGCGAGGCAGCCCGGGGAGGGACGGGTGGGATCGCGGCTCGGGTGTGTCGGGGGGGCGGCAGGCTACCCCCCGCCCCGGGCTCCCAGGAGCAGGGCGCGCACTTGCATGTGCAGGCGTCTTGGGCTGTGGCGCTCCTGGTAGGAGCGTGCGGTGTCCCTGCGCCTGCACGAGTGGTGTGTACGCCGGCGAATCCCCGGCGTCATCAGTGGCTCCGAGCCCACCCTGTGGCCGTGACCTCAGTGAATGCAACTCTGCCTCTACACGGAGGACCCAGGCTCTCATCTCTCAACCTGTCCTTGTTCCTCACCCCGCCTCCATCCCCCTCAGCCCAAGGCTGGCCCCGTCCCTATGTCTGACAGCCAGCAGAGTGGACCCCGTGTTGTGTTGTGTCCCACCCGGGCATGGCCGTCCCTATCCCTATATCTTCCCACCCCAGGATGGGTTGGCCCTGAACCTGCGTGTTCTCCTCCCCAGGAGGACTGACCCTATCCTTGCCCCAGGAAGCATACCCCAGACCCGTGACTAGCAATTCTGGTCCCTGAAATAGGTACCACAAAATAGATGTGGGGGGGGGGTAAGGGGCAAACATAACAACACAGCTGCTGAGGAAGCTGTTTGCCTGGAATTTACCTGGGTTTTTGGAAAAAACAAAACAAAACAGAAAAACCCTTCATTTTGTACAAGACGTTGACTCTCCAAGTCTTCTCTGGACAGGCACAGACAAATTAGCCAGTTGTCCAAGGAGTCCAGCCAAAATTCCGGACCTTTGGACAGGTGAGGAAGGCAGCCATGGAGGGGCAGGGGGTGTGAAAGTGGTCATCTCCATGATCCCAGGGTGTCTAAAGCATATATCCCAGAGGTGGCCAACAGTGAAGAGTTCCTGGGCTTGGGACCATCAGAAGTGGTGGTCTGAGTAAGGGCATAGGAGGAGCCGTGCTCCAGAGGCAAGAGGCTGTGGTACAGGGCTGGAGGAAGATGGTGAGATGCAGGGACACTTGTCCTTGAGACCATCTGGGGAGAAGCACACTTTTCTCCACTTCAATACTCTGAAAGAAAACACCAGTTGCCCCATCTTTCCTATGCCTGAACTGTATCTCCCTCCCCCAGGCGGTCCGGTCCCTGTGTCTGCATACTTGGCGGTAGTTCTGAAGACAGGCCTAGCCTCCCAACCAGCTCCCAAGGCTCCCAAGGCGACTCCCTGTTTCAGCGATTACTGTGGCACTTAAGAGAGAAGTGGAAACTACTCGGCCTTTTTGAGATTAACTCTGAACATGAACATTATGAGCTGTTGTGCATGATTAAGGCAGGGCTTCGAGATGCCATCCAGGTCTCTGTTGACCACCTTTCCAGGGTGAGCCAGCTTATGAAGAGAATCCACTGGGACTGAACAACTGCTTTGGGGTGTCATTCAGTGGGGGAGACAGCACAAAGAACTGATGGCAGGAGAGCTTCAGTTCCAGCCCCAGCTCTGCTGTTTACTTGTTGGAAAATCATTTTCCTTCCCCGACCTAAATTTCCTCATCTGTAGAAAGAGGAGGTCAGACTCGAATTGAGATGGTCTCAGAGATCCATTCTAGTACCCACACCCCCAGGTTCTATGGCTTTTCCCAGTTCCAACAGTCTGTGATTCTTTGAATAAAAAACATACATACGTGCTCCCAGCTCCAGACTGACCCTGTCCTCTGCACACCCGAGAACCAACTGTGCCCCATCACTTTGGCCTCCCCCAGGCCTGGGACCCTGCCAGAGCCTGCTCAGCAAATCCCAGAGCTCACAGGTCAGCGCAGAAGCTGAGCTGGGCAATTGGATGAGGCAGCGTGGGGGAGAAGTACTGTCCTCTCCTGTCATTGCTGGAAGAGAAGAGGAAGAAAGTTGGGGAGAGGGCTAGGAAAGGTTGTGGGAGGGGGGAAGTAGGAGAGGTGGGATTCGAAGGTTCACTGATTAGCTGCAGGCACCCCCCCATTTTCCTAGCCACCCCAGAGGGCAGACCCAGGGGGCAGGAAATGGGTTTGAAGTGAGAGTGGGATTGAAAGTCCTCAAAGGACAGAGCCAGCAGGCGAGAATTTCACCCAAGCCTTTGTCTGTCTTTCCCCTCTAGCAACCCCTAAAGGAGGAAGATTATGCATCTGTAATGACCCAGCCCCACGAGGTAGGAGCTTCAGGGATCCTTGGAGGTGGAGTGGGGGAGAGGCTTTCACTCTGCCACTGACTTAAATTAGGGCTAGGAAATAACCCTGGACAGGTCATTTCTCCTCTGGTGGCCCTAGTTTCCTCATTTTTCAAATGGTTATAATAATCCCTGCCCTGTGTCCCTCATAGAATTGTTAGGAAGGTCAAGTTACATAGTGGATGGGAAAGCTGTGTGTAAACCCCACAAACCTGTCCAGATGAGTCCTGGTTGGGCTGGGTTATAAGGGGAACCCTCAGGACAGATCTCTGGCTCAAATGTTCCACTTTCCCCTCGGCCTAAACCAGGGGTGGGAAACTGGCGGCCTCAAGGCCACATATGACCCTGTAGGTCCTCAAGTGCGTCCCTTTGACTGAAGCCAAACTTCACAGAACAAATCCCCTTAATAAAAGGAGATTTCTCCATTTGAATTTCCAACATATGACCCCTCAAACACACTACTCACCCTCCTCATGATGTGATATGTATATGCAAATGTGCACATGAATATACATTGTAGGAGCAATCCCAAGAACACACAAATGCACTTTGCATGGGCCCATGCTTACATCATATGCACAGTATGAATACTCACACAATGCGCATATATGTTTTATAAATGTGCATAACATGGCGTGTCATGATAAGAAAGAGGAAATAAGCATTTATTAAGAACCTGCTATGTGCCAGCTACTGTGCTAAGCACTTTACAAATATAATCTCATGTAACAATAATAATAACAGTAATAATTAATTGTATATAGGGCTCAACCCAGGGTGGTAAGTGCTATTATTATCCCCATTTTACAGTTGAGGAAACTGAAGCAAATAGAGATTAAGTGACTTGCCCAGGGTCACACAGTTAGCCAGGATCTGAGGCCAGATTTGAATTTAAGTCTTCCTGATTCCAGGCATAGTGTGCTATTCCCTGTGCCACCTACCTCACTTCTCTGTAGTTTTCATTAAAAAAAACAAAAAAACAAAAAAACTTGATTCATTCAGACCTGAAATTACACACTCTCACATATATGCATGCTAATGTAGTATGCTCCTGTACAGTGTACACAGTATGGATGCCCCATATATATATATATATATGAAAACACATGTTGTTTCACATGTACATGTCAACCAACAGTTATTTGTAAGCAACTTCTGTTACCAAGCTGGAGAAGCAAAGAAAAAAAAAAAGAATGCGTCCCTGTCCTCAGGGAGCTAACATTCTTTAGGATACAACATATACATATATAAAGACAGAAGGACCTGTGATTTCATTGATATAAGGAGCTACCAGGTGAGACATTCAACAATGCATGTTGGCATCTTTTCTGCCTACAGTTTTAGAAAGTTGTTTGGAGCTCAGAGAGGTTAAAACACTTTGCCCAAGGTCATACAGCCAGTATCATAAATCTGGCCTCAGACACTTAATATCTGTGTGACCTTGGGCAGTCACTTAACCTTGTTTGCCTCAGTTTCCTCATCTGTGAAATGAGCTGGAGAAGGAAATGGCAAACCACTCCAGTATCATTGCCAAGAAAACCCCAAATAGGGTCATGAAGAGTCAGACATGACTGAAATGACTTGAAACAAACCAAGGACTTCTTGACTTCTTCTAGACCAGCCCTATATCCACTAGACAGCTAGGTGGTGAGTAGATAGAGTGATGGACCTGGAGTTAGGAGGACCTGAGTTCAGATCCATCTTCAGACACTGTCTGTGTGACTCTGGGCAAATCACTTAACTCCTGTCTGCCTCAGTTTCCTCAACTGTAAAATGGGGGTAATAATAGCATCTACTTCCTAGGGTTGTTGTGAGGATCAAATAGAATGAGATTCATAAGGTGCTTTGTAAATCTTTAAGTCCTATATAAATGCTACCTAATATGTTATTATTATTATTATTATTATTATTAGGCTAAGCTGTACAAGGTGATACCTGTCCATTCTTGGCAATCAGTGTTCCGATTGGGGGGTGGGAGGTAATCCCAGAGCTCTCCTCTTCTCTCCCCCCAGAATTCTGGCATCTGCCATGCCCTGCTATGTTATTTCATTGGCCCTTCCCCCTCAGGGCTTTGAATTGACCACCATGGCAGGCCCTGTCTTTGCCCACTTTCGCCGCTTCCTGGGCCTGGAAGAAAAGGATTACCAGAACTCCCTGTCTTCCAGTCACTGCTTCCTACAATTCATCAGTAACTCTAAGAGCAAAGCAAACTTCTTCTTGACGTGAGTGTCTCATCAAAGTGGGGGGCAAGGCAGGGTGAAGAAAGGGGACCCTAGGAAAGATAAATATTGGGGAACTGGCTAGGAGCAGGCAGACTGACTGGTCCCAGGAGCTCTCAGTTATCTGTGTGCTGCCTTGTTCTACATATGTGGATCTAGATGGGGAGAAAGCAGAGATCTGGGTGCTGGAGATCTGGGAGGAGCTCTGGGCAGGGGACCCTTTGTATGGAGGGTGGGAGAGTGGGGAGGGGGAGAGTGGGTAAAATGTAGGGGGAGGGCTAGGCTTGGATGAAAGGAAATCCAGGGATTAGAGAGGTCAGAGAGTGATGAAGAGAAAGTGGGAGGGGGGGTTGAGGGAGAGAGGAAGACAGAGAGGGGGAGAGAAAAAGAACAAGTTCATAGAGGGTGATACGGTCGATCCTCCAGGCTGGGCCTGAAGCTGACCTTCTGATCCTTCTTGGCCTCTCCCCCATCTCAGAAATGACAAGCGCTTCTTCCTGAAGACCCAAGAGAAGTGGGAGATCCAGTTCCTGCTCTCCAAACTGGCCCTCTACATTCATCACCTCCACGAATACCCCCATTCCCTGCTTGTCAAGTTTCTGGGTAGGATCCAGGCCTACCTGAGGACACTGCTCTAAGGGTACGGGGTGTAGTTTGGGCTCCCTATCTCTCATTCCTCTTCTGACCCCTCTCTCTCTTTCCTGCTAGGTATCCACAGCATCAAGGTGGCCCGGGAGAAGAAGGTAGCGGATGTTTAGGGGATGGGGGATTCTGAGTGTGAAGAGGAGGGCAGAGGATGACCCCTTTTCCCTTTCTCCTTCCCCCAGAAATACTTCATCATCATGCAGAGCATCTTCTACCCTGACAATCGAATTACTGAAAGGTTGGTCGGAAGACAGGGAGAGTTCCATCCCCACATGCCTATCTGAGGTGCCCCCACGGAAGGGGTGTTTGAGCTCTTGGTACCAGCATTCACATTTCTGTCATACTTTAAGGGTTAGAAAATACTTTATTGGGGTAGCTAGGTGGTGCAGTGGATGTAGTACTAGCCCTGGAGTCAGGAGGACCACTAAGGTCCACAAATCTGGCTTCAGATATATAACACTCACTAGCTGTGTGACCCTGGGCAAGTCAATTGCCTCACAAAAAAACAAAAACAAAAACAAAAAAAAACTTTACAACAACCCTGTGAGGTAGGGAGTGCAAGTTTTACTCGAATTTTCCAAATGAGTAAACTGAGACCTAGAGAAGCTAAATGACCTGTCCTTGATCTTGCAATGAGTGTCAAAGCTCGAATTGGAACTCAGGTCTCAGTAGTCCTGGCCCAGCATTGTTTTGCTGAGCCCTCGAATGATCCCAGAATGTCCCAGCTGGAGGAAACCTAAGAACACAGAAATGGTAGAACTCAAAGAGACCCTCCCTATAGGTCATTTCATTGAACCCTTTTATTATCTTTAGAATCCCCTTCATTTTAGAGAGAAGGAAACTGAGGCCCAGAGATGCTAAATATGGCAGCAGGATGTCAACTAGTCAAGCATTTATTAAGCACTTGCTGTGTGCCAGGCACTTGCTAAGTGCTGAGGTTACAGAGACAAACCAGTAATAACCCTGGCCCTCCAAGAGCTCACGTGAAGGGAACAGAGTAGATAACAGGGTAGATGGGAAATAATCAAAGAGGAGAAGGTGCTAGCAGCTGAGGAGTGGTGGGGGACCAAGAAAGGCCTCCTGCAGAAGGTAAGATTTTTGCTGAGTCTAAAAATATGCCAGGGAAGGTAAGAGGCAAAGGTGATGGAATAGATAGAGCAGAAGTGGGAAAACTTATGTGCTTGGGTTCGAATCTTTCTTTTGCCACTTCGTTACCAGGTGACCTCTGGCAAATCAGCCTCTCTCCACCTCAGGTACCCCAATGGTAAAATGGTAATGGTGCTCACTCCTCCTTCACAGGACCATCTTGAGGGTAAAATGAAATGAAGGATGGAAAAGTTCTTTGTTAACTGTACAGCTCTGTGTACAGACAAGGAAGTATTATAATTCATTCACCAAACTTGACTGAGCATTTTGTGTGGGTCTGGCCCTGTGACAGACTGTTGGGAGCAAGACAAAGCAGGAAGCACCTTGATTCCCCCCTGGAGCTTTTTTCTTGGTCTTTTCTGTTAGCCAGACTCCCTGAGGGGCTTTTGGGAAAGGTCATATGAAAGGGAGCCACTGTTTGATTGAGTCTCTGTGAACCCTCTAAACCCACTGAACCCTCTAAGCTGCCCACCCTGCCTCTCTGGGGACTCACTCACATCCCCTAATCAAATTTGTTAAATGTTTAACACAACGCTAAGCACATAGTCATCGCCTAATAATTGCTTCTTTCCTCCCTCCTTCCTTCCTTCCTCCCTCCCTCCTTCCCTCCTTCCCTCCCTCCCTTCC